TATGATTATTTATTGATTTGAATTAACAAAATAAAATATCAAATAATTTTTAAATTTTTTAAAATTTTGTAAACTTGATATATATATTAATATTTTTTAATTGAATAATTGAATCTTAAAATTTGATGTACAATAAAGTTATTGAGTAAAGTAAGTCAAAATAGACTTACTTTTAGAGTAAATAGATCTATTTACTTTAAAAGTAAATTTACTTAGACTTGCTTCACCTAATAACTCATTTTCTATATCAAAATTTAACATTTTAATCTTTAAATTAAAAATTATTAACGCACTCATCAAATTTGTAAAATTTTAAAAATTTAAAAATTATTTAATATTCAATTTCATTAATTCAAATTATAAAAAAATATTTTATAAGTTGATTTGAATTAATGAAATAAAATCAAAATATTTTTAAAATTTTAAAGATATTAATAATTTAATTAGTTGAACAATTAAAATTTAATATAAAATAAATTATTAAATTAAATAAATTTAAGTAAAGTTACTTTTTAGAGTAAGTAGATATAATTATTATATCAAATTCATAATATAATTTGAGAGAGTCCAGGTATAGTACTAGTATGTAGTGCAGTTTATTATTTTTAAAAGAATTTCTTCAATTATAAAGTATAAATTTGATTAAGTACAATTCCATTTTTCAATACACAAAACATTCAGAGTGATGTAATATAAGATGAATTTGGTGTGTTAATGTGTACGAAAATAAAGCAAGAAGTATTTTCAATTTTTGTTTCTTGTAATATGAGATTAAAAAAATAATAAAAAATTGGACCCCTCTCAAGAGGGGCCCTAGACAACTTTAATTCCAAACTTCCTTCAAAACCGGCTCAGTAAGACATATTAGTGGGAGCATAAAGAGGTAGAATGTTGAAATCTAAATCACTTACTAAGAAATATACAAGACCACTATATGCTCAAAAACCACCTGTGACCAGTTCCAGGTTGGCCCCAAGATAAGAATTCAACATGGAGCAAAAATCCTAGCCGTGGCAGAAATGAATTCATCTTATCATGACAAAATCATCTTCAAGAGAATCATGGTGAAAACCACAGATCTCAAGTACCACTCATCCTTGGATAATCATTGAAGCTTCGTAGGTAGGAGCATTTTAATTTCACCTGTTATTCTCATTCTCTCTCACGCCTGTAGACATTAACAGAACCAAGTACAACTTTTCCAACTCTTCTGTTTCTACGTGTTCTTCTACTCATACTTCTTTTCTTTCTCTTCTCACCCGGTTGTGACATGGGTAAAGAGTGAATCCATCTTAATGGTACTAAAGCTGCAAGGAACTGCACAAGAATCCCTGCCGTTAAACCCGAGTAATCACCGGATGTAATACCAAGGCAAGAGGCCAATCCAACCCCAAAAAAAGCACTAGCTATTGATGATAGACACAAAGCTGATGCAAGGAAAGCTGTGAGAGATCCTTCACAACCCTTTGGACATAATTTTGCAAATAAAACTGAGAAAGGAAGGAGCTTAAACTGAGCCACAACTTCGGCTAAACCAGAAAAGCAAAGAGCAAACACCTCATTGGGAATTCCCCATTTGAGATTTATTTGTCTAACTAGAATGAGATCAAGAAGTAGAGATGAAGCATACAGAATCTGCACCATGCCTATCAGCTTTCTCATTGGAATTTTTTTCCAATATTGGTTATAAAGCACAGTTCCTGAAAGAAGTACAAACTGGCCAATCACTCGAGACCACCCGATTACTGTAGGATCAAGATTTAGACATTGTGTCTGATAGCAAAATATAGAGCCTGAAAGCATTGGGACCAAGGCAATTGATCCAACGATCCACACAAGGGGCTGGGAAATGCCCTTGTCACTGATAGCCATGACAAGATCAGAGACCTGTTTTCTGATATTTACTGAGATGGATGTTGTAGCAAGATTTTGACCTGAAAGTTGGGCTATGCCTAAAGACTCCTCTCTTGTTGAAAAAGAAATTGCTAGTTGTAGAGACAGTAAAGTTGAAAATATGACAAACATGGTTCTGGGAGGCAATTTCTGTAAGAAATAACCACCAATCAAGTTGCCTAAGATTCCACCTGCAGCTAATGCCATGAATGCATACGACTGTAGGCCACCAATTTTGTGCTTCTTGCCATACTCTGCAACAAGAGCATCCTGTGCTACTTCTGTAATGGATGCTCCCAAATTACTGAGAAGCACAGATGCAATTAAGTTGGGAAGTATTTCGTGTGCAATGGGGACAAATGCCAGAAGATTCCAAGATACGACTTGCAGAAGACCTGAAGATTGAACCAAAAAACATTTATTATACTTTATAATTTATAGGATAAGTTATCCTCAGTAACGTGAAAGGAAAACATAAAATGACAGAAAAAAAAGAAACATCAATGGAGTAATCCTATCCAATCCCTCAACATGTCCATTAGGAAAAACCCCTTAAAAAGATAATGAGCTTTACACCGTATAGAAGCCAAATGCCTAATCTCCTTCTAACTCCTCTGCTGTGCCAAAGAAACTTCCTTGAATGCACAGGAGTGGCACTCCAACAGTATATATCAGTGTGGCATATGTCTTTAATGTACATACACACATGACTAATCTAAAAACCCTAATCAACTTCCTACATATACACAAGAAACACAACAATTTTAAGTTACAGCTGCATGTTTGTCAACTTCTTATGATGCATAGTTTACTCCACTGCTAGAAAATCATATAGCTTTGATTGAAACTCATGGTAAAAGTAAATGAATACTATGTCAAATAAAGGAGTTCCACCTTGCTTTTCTAGTCTTCCCGTGCACTACCCTTGTAATTTCTTCATCAATAACATTTTTTCTAGCCTACTCAGCCTTAATATAAAGAAAAAGGACACCCTAAGGACGCAATAACAGAACAAAAAACCCTTAGAGATTTCATTCTAGAATCTCAAAACTCATGAATTAGATGGACTAGTTGTCTTCAATTTTCTGTATTCATAGCCTGTGACTGACCTTATAATTCCTATGACCTGATCAACACGTTTGAGATAAAAGTTTTAAATTCTGATCCTGGTATTTGCACTAACGCACTCTCATTGAAACCTATCTCACTTCATATAAACCCCACAATAAATAACCAAAATAACAAAGAAAAAACAAATTAAGTCATGCATTACATCGATATTCTCATTCAAAAAGATGACCACTGATTCATTGTAAGATATATATTCATCAGATCAGAACAGACCTCAAGACTCGATAAAAACTTGAGTCCGTTTGAATAAATTTTTCTATAAGTGTTTATCGAGAAACTTTTCTAAACATATCCTTATAATAAGACTTTAAATGAGATTACATACCCACCAAGTTCTCAAATCCAAAACAAGATTCAAACTCAAGTCCAAGTGAAGTACTAGTCCTATCTTACTAAATTAAGGTACAAAATATTTAAAATTTATAATAAATTTAATTCTGATAATGCACACAAGCAACTGTATCTAAGTTTGTCCAACCAAAAAGCATAAAACACAAGATAAAACATGAAGACATGTTATAGTATTGGTCGAGCATACCTCCTATGACAAGATGAGGTATTCTACGAGAACCGTTAATAGAGACAGCATCGGAGAGGATTCCGTAGAGAGGCTTAGCCACCATGGGGAGGTTAGCGGAATTCTGCACGAGCTGCAACGTGGAGGGGTGCAAGTGGAGGTTAGTGGCCATGTGAAAGTTAAGCGCCAGCCACGGAAAACACCTGAAACCTTGTACCCAATAACCCAACCCACACAACAGCATCAGCATTCGTTGGTTGCTTCCAGCTTGCGGAGAACGAACCCTGTGTCTCTCCTCGTACTCCTTAACCACCACGTGCCTCGTAACGGTGAATGCGGCTCTCTCGTTAACCGCATTGCTGCTGGGGTAAGGGTTACGCCTCTGGAAACATGTCACGCGTTGCGATGGTCTTTTGCGCGGTTTGTGGAGCCTCGGCATGTTCCACATGAAGAGGTTGTTGTGAGAAGAAACAGCGTAAATCATGGTTTTGGTGTCTTTGTTGTTATGGGTTGAGTGAGCGGAGCAGAAGATGAGAGTGGTGAAAGGAAGAATATATATATATACCAAAGAGGAGGGAAGAGGGATCTAGAAGAGTGTATTGTGTTGTGAGGGAAATTAAATTAAATTAAGATTAAGATTAAGATTAAGATTAAGGTTAAATTAAATTAAATGGTGGTTAAGGATTATGGGAGTGAAGAGGGTTCGAGTTGGAGGTTTGGCAGTGACGGAGAGCATTCCCCGAACAGTGATGTGATGTGTAAATTAGGTTTAAGAATTGTGAGGATTTGGGGACGCACGTGTGGTGCACGCGCGGAGAGGAGTGTGGGCCCGGGGAGTTGGAGATTTTGAGGTCCCATCATGTGCGTGACAAGTGATGGTAAAGGGATTGATTATTTGTCTGGTGTGTAGGTGATTCAGGGCCGTTCAAATGCTTTCCTGTTAAATTTAGGCACAATTAATTATATCTTTTAATTATATCATGTTATTATAAATATATTTATTTTTAATAATAATATGACATAATTAAAAATATAATTAATTATTAATATAAAAAAGTGTATAAATAATTAACTTAAATTATAATAAAAATTAAAAAGTAAAAATAAAGTCTAAATTGTAAAATTATGTTATTAATTCAAATTTAAAATTGAATCAATTGAAATATAAATAGTAAATAATTTTATTTATTTAAATTAGGCTGCTAAGACATGTTTTAAAAAAAGGAAAATGTGTGTGTAGACTTGCTTGTAAGATTGAATCCAAATTCTGATCTAGGCTTCTAGGTTTTTAGAATTGGATTTCCTTCCTATTGGTTTGAAAGAACAACTTTGGGTTGATGTCATAGGGTTGCTGTTTTTAAGATTGTATTACCTTTATTTTTTTTTTCTTTTGGTTATTGATTATCTTTATTTACAAAAATAAAATAGATTATTATTTTTCATGTATGAAAATCATAATTATAAATTTTGAGAATTATAATTCTTATGAATCATGAAAATTTGTTTTATAGATCATAAATGTTTATAAATGTTAATTAGAAATCAAAATATTTATTTTATTATATAAATAAATAAAGATAACATAACGTTAAAAATTGTTTTCAAAAAATAAAATATCTTTAAAATTTTATTTTTAAATAATAATTTAAACATGAAAAACTAATATTCTTATAATTTTTTAAAATGTTAAAAAATCGTGTAAAAATTTTTTTTACATTAAAATTATTATTTTTATATAAAAATAGAAAAGATTACAAAAATGATCGCAATAAAGATTGAGTCTAAGTTTCTATATTTCTAATTATTCAACCTCATCCCACCTAATCACTAGGCTAACTCTAATAATTTTAGGCTAAAGTTAATCTAATAATAAGTAATCAAAATATATATGTAAATACTTTAATTTTGATTCCTATTACCTTCACTATAATCTTTTTCATTAATAAAAAAATAGAATAATTACTTTAAATGATAATGGTTATTATTCAACATAAGTGAACTTTTAAGATTTTTTTGGTGAGATTTTTATTTTTATTTTTAACTCTTAATTTATTATTTTTAATTAAATTATAATATTTTATAAAATATCAATAACTAAAAAATAATGTATTATAATATATTATTTATTATAAATCTAAATTATAATTTATATATGAACTATAAGTCTTAATTATAATATAATTCGAATAGGTTTTATATTCGAAACTTATCCAATTTTGTAGGCACACCCAAATTAAACTATACAAATTCAAAAGATTTGAAAATTTAATTGGAGACCATCATTCTGCTGTTGGGACAACTATAACTGGTTGGGAGACTGTTTTATTACCTCATCAGCTTGTGATTTTTTTTTTCTTCAGAAAATATTATGATAAATGACAACTTTAGATAAAAACAACATTAATTGAGATGAACAAGTTGAAATAAAAACAAAATACAACAATAAAATAGGAGATCGAATAAAAAAGAACAACAACAGAATTATAATGCAATAAACTAGAATCCAACTTTAATGATGTCTATGGCCACCCGTTCCACACCTCGGAGGTTGTCGGTTCCTTGTTGGGTTTCGACGACCAATGCGTGGCAATACTTCACCCATCCGCAACAACCTTCTCTTCAAGGTTCTGATCATAGAAAGGGTTTGGTCCAAGAGTTTTAGGCAATGAATCCATTTATCAACATTCAATATGTTTTTACCATAAAAAACAAATGTGCATTTTCTACGATTCAAACTGCAGTGGTGTGTAAGTGAGTGTGATTACTCTTCAATAATTGCTCCAGAAAAGGGCAAGATCAATTCTCAGCTTGAAGAGAGTAGTTGCATTAATGCTTCCTTATGAAACAAATTTTTTTTATTATAAATTATAATAAATATTACATATATATAAGAAAAAGAATTTACTTACTGTTAACTTATTTCATTTAATAAATCATGTTTTACATTATATTTTAACGATTCAGTTATTGGATTAATTTTTTTTAATTAATAGATCAATTTTACAAATTTTTATATTAATTTATTTGATACTTTCTTACATTAACTCAAATTAACGATTATTCACAAAAATATATTGTACATTAATTTCAATTGATGAATAATCATAAAAGTATTTTATACATTGAATTGAATTAAATTAATAAAATGAAATATCAAATAATTTTTAATTTTTTAAAAAATTTGCAGACTTGATATAAATATTAAAAACTTTAAATTCAACGATTAGATAATAAAATTTGATGTAGAACATGAATTACTAATAACATAATAAGTCTAAATAAATTTATTTCTAAAATAAACAAATTGTCTCTCTCTCTAAATATATATTACATTAAAAATGATTATTAGGGATTAAAAATAATAATTTTAAATTTTAAGGAGATAAAAATTAAAAATAATTTTATAGAAACTAAAATCAAAATTTTTTAATTTTATAGAGACTAAAAATTATAGATTTTAGAAATGTGAAAAATAGAGAAAAAAATTTACGAGAAACAAAATTACAAATTTATTCGAAATACAAACTTTCCGATTTATCCTCTCTTCTTTTTAGTCTAGTTGTTGGAGGGATCCGGAAGCTAAGAATTAGATAAACATATAGCAAACCAAATGAACACGTCATTTACTTATCTTGACCAAATTTAAAGAACTTCAACTACTCAATAAAATTAACAAATTGAAGACTATAACAATAACACACTAAATACAGTACGTAATGTTGCAACAAACCGACTAGAACATCCATAATTAACTTGCCAATACCCACGGTTGAAGCAAAGTATTCTCTATACCAATGGACAAGGATCAAGATCTTGTTACCTTGATGGTAGTTCAAAACAACCTCAAAGTTAATATGCATATATAAGCAAACCACACGGGTACTATAGAAAATCGAAGAGCAAGATTAATTCATATAATCTAGAAATCATCATCTAATTAAGACTTTGAAGTTTGAACCTTCTAGTCATTTGATTTCACCCAATTCTTTGCTAGTTAATTTCATTGGCTAGATTCAATGACAAAAAATCATTTACTTGATTCAAGGACAACAATTCAACAGAGGGAGCAACATGAAATTAGATTTGGAATGACCAGATTCCTAGTTAAGAGAGGATGGATGTTTGTGGGTGCTTGCAAGAGAGTGTGGTACAAGCTCAGGATGAACCTCAACTTCTGATTTCACATTAGCCATATATATAATAATATTCTTTGTTGTTTGTACTGGTTACTGCATGTTATTTGTACAGTAACACAGGGTTGGCAAAGTCATCAATGTGTACCCTCTAATGTATCATAACAAAAAAAAGTAGTAGTAAAAAGCTAGATTACAAGACTTAATGTTATAGCTTCTTCCCTTTTTCATGGTAAATGCAGTTTTTCTTTCTACTTATAGGCATTTGTGTACTTAATGCACATTTTTCTCAATTAAAGACACTTTATGTTTCAGTTAAAGAAAAAAAGTGAATAAATTAATTATTGAATATAATGGAGGAGTATAGAGAGTTTTTTTTTTTAATATACTGTTTTTTTTTTATTATTATTTAAATAACCCAGAGTGAAATATATTTACCTAAATATACCACCTAGTTTTGTAGGTGAGAAATCGGTTACTGGGTAACCGATTTCTCAAAGGGATTTTTCAAAATTTTGGAAAAATCCCTTTGAGAAATCAAAGGCCCTTTTTTTTTTCGTTTTTTTTGTTTTCTTTTTTGTTTTTTTTAATTTAAATTTTTTATTCTAGATTTATAAATTCTTTTTTAGTTTTTCAGTTTAAAATATATAGATTTTAAAAAAAATTATAATGAAATTTAAAATAATTAATTTAGTTATTATTTTAAATTTAGATTATAAAAATGTATTTAAAATTAAATTTAATGAATAAAATTAAATTTAAATAGAATATTTAGAAAAAGAAAATATTATGATAAATGACAACTTTAGATAAAAACAACATTAATTGAGATGAACAAGTTGAAATAAAAACAAAATACAACAATAAAATAGGAGATCGAATAAAAAAGAACAACAACAGAATTATAATGCAATAAACTAGAATCCAACTTTAATGATGTCTATGACCACTTGTTCCACACCTCGGAGGTTGTCGGTTCCTTGTTGGGTTTCGACGAACAATGCGTGGTTGTTGTGGTTCAACCTGGTACTCGTCATGTTGTATATTAACAGTATCAGTGACTGGATTTGACGAACCACTTCCACCGACCTCAGAGTGATAAGACGAAAATGAAGGGAAATTCATGCTTTGCATGTAATTATATGCACTTTGTGGCGTGTGTACGTCGACGCCGAAAAGATTGCTCATGAAGTCCGATGTTGGAGTTGTTGTTGATGGTGGTGTGTACATGAATTGTTCATGGTGTGTATGAAATGATGGATAAGACTGAGGATGTTGTTCCACACTATAAGGTGGGTGATTATCTCCACCCATTGGGAATGTTGTTGCAGTTGTTGTTGGGAGTTGAAAACCAGGGTGGAGACCCATTAAGAATCTTGAGATGAATAATTTTAAGTATTTAATGCTACACAATTATTTTTATTCATCAACATGTGAGAAGTAGAAATAATG